ATCACCCTTGCAAACATGATCAATGAGATCAGGTGGGACGACAGGCTCAACCCTTTCAACCATACCCCTGACTTCCCCTATCTCTTCACAGGTGTGGTGACATTTCTATCATGATTTAATCATCCAGCATTTTGCCTGACTGCATTCCACATAGGAATGGTTGATACCTTTCCTATTGAAGTGGAGAAGCCTGAACATAGGGAGCTACGACGAGCCCTCTTCACCAACAAGTATGGCACAACAGTCTACAAGGTGCAGCTAGGAGTGTCTTTCCTGGGACAGATACTATTCTGTACTGGCCCTCATCTGCCCTTGTATGATGCCCATATATGGGAGGCAACTGCCCACGACCACCCTCGTGAAGAGTGGGAGTGGTGGTTAGGAGGTACGCCCTGTCTTGGCATTGTCCTAGGTGTAATCTCATCAAGGTGTGCGTGTCAACGTGTGCGGTGGCCAGATGGCCACTATAGCACCTGCAGAAACATGCTCACTCCTTGGCGGAAGGATCGGGTGCTCTCAGAGGATGAAATGCTGGCCAATACCATCATCTCCTTCTACCGAGCCAGAGTGGAGCACGTGAATGCTGTTCTTGTAAACCACAACATGTTCCGTGGTGTCTGGCATTCACGTGTTGGAGGCTGCAGTGGCTGTGACCGCACATATGAGTGCAGCACACCTACGGAAAAACATCCGTTATCCACTGGTGGGTCCATGGCCACACCACACAGCACAATAAAGGCCTTCAATTTCATGAAAAAATATACAGGCTATTTGTGTTGTGCCACCAACCCCACTTTCCAGGAAAAAAAATGCAGTAATAAGGCCCACAGATATTTCGTCAGGGACTCACCAGTTGGGCTGTATGGCAGTGTGTGAAGTGTTGAGACCCTTGAGATTTGGGCAACCTTTTGCCACCCGCACCAGGGTGTGTGGGTGCATGGTGCAAACTTCACTGCATCCACATGGCTCTTTATTGCCTGTTACATGCTCCTCAGCACTCAGCAGCTGGCAGGGCATTGTTACACCAACCACCATGCAGTCACAACGTGTGTTCCTCACCGAGTCCCAGAAGCGGTGGATCCTATCACAAGTGCCCAAATTCCAAGCTGCCTATCCCACCGATATTGGGTGGTTCTTGCCCAACAGCTCAGCGCACAGTGGGGCCTGACCATAACAGCCACCACTCTCCGCAACAACATCTTATCCTACCAGGTAGGGATAACAAAAACCCCTCTGCCCTTCATCCTCTGCTTTGGTTCATTGATTTTGTGGTAGACCTTCAGGCAGCATGAGGAGGAACATGAGCGGCTGCTTCAGGAGTCAGGGGAAGAAGGCACACCCTTTGTGGATGATGAAGGACAGGAGTTCCCCCCCCCTTGTTGGAGACTATGCTGAGGTATGACACACATCAGCTTGGCTACTTTGCTTGCTTTCTCACACATCCCTCAAAATAGGATTTGGATAGACCACCTGTGGAACAACAGCCAGCAGAACCACAGACCAGCTGGTGGCCCCAATGGGATGAATCCCAGACCAACACTGCAGCCCCTGCCACCCAGCACAACCTGGTACATGAGCACCCCTTTTTTATATTTTTCTCCTCATCATGCCTCACCTATCATATACAGCTACCTCAAACTGCCACTCCTGCTGAGGTGCTTGAGGCCATAACATCCCACCTCACAGCCAAGAAGATTGTGCTCCTGCCCCTTGACTGGATCACTGACAACGACATCGATGGCGAGGTGTTTCAGACACTGACTACAGAAAATCTCCATGACCTTGGGGTCAGCTCCCTTGGTGCTCATATGCACATCCTCAAGCTGCAACAGGTGACTGCCCCTGTTTCTGGCACTGCCATGAGAGAAATGATGACGGTGCCTTGCCCATCCCCCTCTTTCATGAGCTCTATTGGGCTGATTGACCAGACCACCTTTCCCAGAACTATTGGGCCTCTGGAGTGGCTCTCAAGGCCTGTGCCCATGGTGGAACACCTCAGGCAATGGCTGAGTTCAAGAAGAGGGCTGTGGAGCAACAGGAATGTAATGCCACCAAGCAAGCCCCTTGCCAGAAGAAGCCACAGCCAGGACTGGTGGTCATGGCCCGTCATACTGGCCCTTGTGGTTTGCAGTGGCAGACCTACTTGTATGTTCTTGCTTCTAATTTATGGTTGATACCCTTCTCTGACAATGACCCATTGTGCAGTGCTGGCCAAACTGAGGATGATGCTGAGTGGCGACCACGAAGCCAGCTCAAGAAGTATGCCCATCTGCTTGATGCCTGGACAGCCCCACAAACACCAGGTAGGCTCACTACATCCCTAAGCTCATTCTGCACTGCCATGCCCACGCCCTTTTGATCCTCCCATTAGGTGTGCAGGCAAACAGAAGCCAGGCCAATGCCAGTGGGGATGAGGAAGAAGATGACTCTGCCTTCCCTCCCCCCAGTCCTCAGCTGTCACAAAACAGCCAACCCAGTGAGGAGGCTGAAGATCTTCAGTCACAGCTGCGTGAGTACAGGCAATTGAAAATGGCTGCCGGGAGCCGCAAGCGGCGGCGTCTGTCAACGGAGGAGGATGAGCTCTCAAGTGGTCCTGAGGCCTAAGTAAAGATTGTTTCTGGCTCCACAGTGCACCATCTGTTGAAACTAACTGGAATGGGCATGCATGCCGTATGCATTTTTGATTTGTGGCCCACACATAACATGCTCTGCCCCCTAACTGTTGTATGCATCCTTCAGGTGTGGTCTGCATATGCAACATGAGTTTTGTAGGTGTGGCAGAAAGGCCTGCATATGCATTTTATGTGTGTTGTCCCACCCATTTTACACATGCCAACACGCATTGCACACATGTGGTTCAAACACCAAAAATGCATTTTACATAATGCCAGCATGCATTTTATGCATGGTGTCCATGGATAAGATGCATGTCGGCATTATGTAAAATGTGTACACTAACACACATGTCATGCATGTGGTCCACACATAACACACATGTCATGCATG